GTAATCAGACGTTTTCAGATTATCGGAACTTTGCAGTAGCCCATTCATCTCAGATTTAGGTCTCGGCTCATCATTCTCTCTATTTTATTCTTTCACGTTCGTACAAAGCAGCTAATATTACAATAGGGATCAATTTTGCGTTTCATTATATAATGTAGAATCAATTTTACAGTTTTCTCAAAATTCCACAACCCAACAAAAATAAATAAACAATGATATCAGCATATTACAATTCCAACCCAACTTTGCACAAACAGAGCTTCGCACATATTATGATTCACATCAAATAGCACATATTCAAACCAGCTTTCTATGTTGCAACTAAAATATCTAACTTCCCTTTCTGATTTCTAAACAAGTGTCAAAGCAAATCTTCTGTCCCGGTTAATTTCGCAAATTCATTTTCATCAATTCTTCCCTTCTTCAGTTTTTTCAGCAGACGGTACTCCCTGTCCAGCTCGTCAGCATCTTCTGTCGATTGAACCGCACGTCTCTGACGGGCAGTTTGTTTTCTCATGACTGTGTTTGAGGCATTTGATTTTGGTGCCGCTTTTTTTGGCTTGTGTGGCTTTTGCTGTTCTGCAGCTTGCTTCGCCTGCAGTTTCTTCTTTCTTTGTTTCTCTCGGGATTTGTCCCTGGATTTTCGATATAATCAAAAGCATTAGCTAGCTTATATGCACGAGTAGGGTATGATCTAATTGCATGGTTATTTATTCAATGGTTTATGCAATACGAATAATAAAACAAAGCTAACCAGTGCTTTCATTCAGGGAAAATTAGGAAACCTACTATTCCAGTCTTTATTTATTTAAAATTTATTGTTCAAAATAATCTCAACTCCAGTTCTGAATTACAAGTACACTCTTAAGGTATTACAAACAATGCCTTGAGGTTTGAATTTGTTCAACAAAATACCCCTGTTTTAAGGCTGCATCTCAATATGTAAAATAGAAACAGAGGGCCCTTTAGAAAATTTTAGATTGTTGGTTTGTATTTTGCAATAAACCCTCTAAATTGTTATGTTATATACATTGCAATCCTCTTTATTTCTTCGTGAGCATGATCACTTATGATGTTATAAATTTATGAAGAGATTCTAAAAGCAATTTCATGTACATCAATGAGATATAATAAGTCAAATGACTAACACAAATGATGCAACTCTATGGCGAAAGTTGCTTTGGAAGTGCAAGAGCAAGAAATTCAGAAGAATCTCAACATAAAGTAAATATTTGACAATTTTTGACAAAGGATCCTTACTTGTACTTGATATCATCCAGTTTTATATCTTCACATGGAATAAAACCTGCAGTAGAAAGAGAGTGGTGCTTTACTTCGGGCATCGAAGGGAGCTGCAATAAACCAAATCCCATGCCCAACTTCCCAATTTCAAGTTTTTTCCAACTGCAAATAAAGGCAACTTATCAAAACCAGAGAGACTGAGCATATTATTTTAACAAGATTAAAAAAAAAAGTTTACTACCTAAAGATATAATTACAAAGATGCTCTTTGTAAGCACGGACGTAAGATACAAGAGCCCTGAGTCCTTTCTCCATAATAGCACGGTCCTTTTTGGCAGCCGAACGTATCTGGAAAACATGTGCAAGTAAGTTACACATGTAAGAGTACCTTCCCTAATTCCTAAATAGGTCAAATTACATGAAGCCATGGATTTGCAAGGAGTGAATGCACTCTCAAGCTTCCTGATTGATTTTCCTTTTTTTTTTTTTTTGGGTCCGTAATATATTGAATAAATATTAGTAGAAAAGGTGTTTTACCTGGGGAATTATATCAGGAGCCTCATGGGTGCATTTTCTCTCTACCATCGGAACTCTCTTTCTCCTGAGATACTCTACGTACTCTATCTCCTGTTTATTATAAATATAAGAGATTACTACATCAAGAATGCATCATTATTCTAGAACAATCAAATAATCTCTAAGTCAGCATTAAACTGTTCTGTAGAACCAAACCTGCGGCATGAGAAAGACAATTGCGCATCCTTGACGTCCCATCCTTGCAGTTCGACCAACTCTGTGTACAAACATAGTGGGGTCTTGTGGGGGATCATACTGCATATTAACAAAAAATTAAACCTGATTTTCAATAAAAATTCATACTTTTTCCAGAACAGAATAGTTTGGATATATTTTTCTCTCTGAACAATGACTAAATGACAGTTTATACTTTTGAGGTTAACTGTGATACTTTTATAACTTTCCAAAGAGCACGACTTGTAGTTGAGAAGTATGACCATCTGACATAAGCATTCTTAGGTCAGATGGTCTGAAAGAAGTTTATGTATTCTTCAAGATTCTATAATCGAAGATGAATAGATAGTGTAAAAACAACATTAAATAAGTTTATATAATTAACGGTGATTCTTCAAACACTCGACTAACACATGAAACATGCATTAGCGTCATTAGGCCAAAAAAATGTAGTTATTGTGCTCCCAGCTCACGCAAAGAGAGGAGAGCATTCCAAAAATGAAATTGATTATTAGCTACCTGTAATACGCAATCAACACCAGGAATGTCAAGCCCACGAGCGGCCACATCAGTGCAAAGAAGAACGCCACTTGATAGAGAAGTAAATGATGCCAATGCCTTTTCCCTAACTGTCTGCATAAGCAAAATAATTCCTCAGCACATGCGCTTAACATAAGATGTCTCTGAACCTAAACTGCCAAAAACTTAAGTGTTTGAGGTTCATAATTTTTTTTTCAAAAAATACCTGTTTCATCTGCCCATGAAGAGAGATCAGAGAGAAACCCTTCAAAGCAGGTAGAAGTGGAAGAACAGCTCCCCAGTAATCAACACATGCACAAGTCATGAAATAGCTACAGGAGAAAGAAAGTTGCGCGTATTCTATTGAGAACTTCAAGCAGCCCAACTTATATTCTATAGGGGAAAAAAAACACTTTCAGAGTGCGAAAATGATAGAATTTCGGATTCAAACTCACATTATTGTTTTCTGAGCCTTGTTCTTACTGAGGAGATCAATGAGCTGTAAAGGTTTCTGGTCCGCTTCACATTCGAGATACTGTTGATTCAAACAACCGAAAACCAAGTTCAAAGATCAGTTCTCCTTTTCTTGTATTGCTTCTTCTTTCCTTTTTTACTTTATACAACAGAAAGTAAGATTTATTTGATTGTATCATGCAGCCCCTGAATCTTGCAGTAAGAGGTTACTTCACGCAGCTTATAAGCTTTCCGAATAATCTCACAAGCTACTCGAGAACTTATAAACCTTACAGATTACTCAAAGTTTTACAGGATCCTCAAAAGGCCGTTTAGAAAAGCTGTCTTCAGAGAAGTAATCTTTTAATTAAAATGGTCTTCTTCAGAAAAAATAGATAAAAATTAAAAGCAAACACATTTCTGTGACTATAGTTAGCATATGGTCAGTAACATCTCATAAGTCTACCATAGTATTTCATCAAAATACTCCTAACAACCTATCTCCAAATAAGATATAACATAGTCCAAGCTCCAAAGCATCTTGTAATATGTAGGATCTCTATTAATCTCTTTTAATAATCTCAGCCAAACACCTCCCAAATATGATATCCAAATTAGAGATAGCACCGAAAATTTTGGCACAACCAGCAGACTATGGAAATACCTCGATTCTCAGTTGTGAAGGAGTTTTGGAAGGAGCAATTTGTTCTGACGATGTTACATGCTTAAGTCTCTTTGATTCAGCTCGAACTTCGACCCTCACTGGATTCCTTAATCCGGCTTTGGATAGCTCCTCAACTGCCTCAGTTTGAGTGGCTGAAAAAAGGCCTGTTCTTCTTTGCTTTGGCAGGCGTGATATGATAGCATTGATCTGCTTTTGGAATCCCATATCCAATAGTCTATCGGCTTCATCTAGAATCAAAATCTGTTCCACCAAATGAAACCATTTTAAACGGTAGAAAATTTAAACGCCATGGGATTTGTGAAACCTGCCATAGAATATCCCATTATAAATCAGGATGAGGATAATATATCTCACAAACATCAACCACAATGAGGCAAATGTAGGAAATCACTAACCACATTAATAATCTTAATATCTTCTAAGATATTTATTTTTATTTTAGAATCAGATAACGGATTTGCTAAAAAAAATAATAAAAAAATGGTTAAACCTATTGATACAAAAATAAATAGAATGCACAAACCAAGAAACTAAGATGATCTTCAAA